AGAAACAATCTAAATGTCCATCGACAGATGACTGGATAGGGAAGTTGTGGTATGTATATATGATGGAATACTACTCAGCCATGAAAAGAATGAAATAATGCCATTTGCAACAACATGGATGGACCCAGAGATTATCAAACTAAGTGAAGTAAGACAGACAAAAAAGACAAATATCATATATGTGGAATCTAAAAAAATGACACAAATGAAAATATTTATGAAACAAATAGACTCACAGACATAGAAAACAAACCTATGGTTACCAAAGGGGAAAGCAGGGGAGGGATAAAGTAGGAGTTTGGGATTAGCAGATACACACTACTACATACAAAATAGACAAACGATAAGGTCCTACTATATAGCCCAGGGAACTATAGTCAATACCTTGTAATAACCTATAATGAAAAGAATATGAAAAATAATACATCTATAACCAAATCACTTTGTTGTACACCAGAAATTAACACAACATTGTAAATCAACTATACTTCAAAAAAATCTTAATCCTTAACAAAATACTAGCAAACCGACTCCAACAATGCATTAAAAGGATCACACACCATGATCCCGTGGGATTTATCCCAGGGATGCAGGGGTTCTTCAGTATCCGCCAATCAATGTGATACACCACATTAACAAACTGAAGAATAAAAACCATGTGATCATCTCAACAGATGCAGAAAAAGCTTTCGATAACATTCAACATCTATGTATGATAAAAACTTTCCAGAAAGTTGGCATAGACAAAACATACCCCATCATAATAAAGGCCATATATGACAAACCCAAAGCTAACATCATACTTAATGGGGAAAAGCTGAAAGCATTCCTCTAAGATCAGGAAAAAGACAAGGATGCCCACTCTCATCACTTTTATTCAACATAGTTTTAGAAGTCCTAGCCATAGCCATCGGAGAAGAAATAAAAGGAATCCAAATTGGAAACAAAGAAGTAAAACTGCCACTGTTTGCAGGCGACATGATACTGTACATAGAAAACCCTAAAGAAGTGACCAGAAAACTACTAGAACTCAATGAATTTGGTAAAGTTGCAGAATACAAAATTAATATACAGAAATCAGTTGCATTTCTATACTCTAACAAAATAACAGAAAAAAAAATTAAGGAAACAATCCCCATTTACCAACACACCAGAAAGAATAAAATACCTAGGAATAAACCTACCCAAGGAGGCAAAAGACCTGTACTCTGAAAACTGTTAAGACACTGATGAAGGAAATTGAAGACAACATAAACAAATGGAAAGATTACCGTGTTCTTGGATTGGAAGAATCAATATTGTTAAAATGGCCATACTACCCAAGGCGATATACATATTCAATGCAATCCCTATCAAATTACCAATGACATTTTTCAGACCTGGAACAAAAAATGTTAAAATTTGTATGGAAACACAAAAGACCCCGAATAGCCTAAGCAATCTTGAAAAAGAAGAATGGAGCTGGGGGAATCATGCTCCCTGACTTCAGACTATACTACAAAGCTACAGTAATCAAAACAGTATGGCATTGGCACAAACACAGACACATAGATCAATGGAGCAGGACAGAAAGTCCAGAAATAAACCCACGCACTTATGGTCAATTAATCTATGACAAAGGCAGCAAGAATACACAATGGACAAGACAGTTTCTTCAATAAGTGGTGCTGGGAAAACTAGACAGCTACCTGTAAAAGACTGAAA